ATATTGATATATATTTTTTTACTAATAAATACTATACTAAACAACTGTTATGTGATTGAATTGATATTGTATATAAATATTTTTTATGTAAAATATTTATCGCTAATAAAATATAACTTTACGTGACTTTAAATAATTTTTTTTTTGTATATTATTATTATTATTATTATTTAGATTTTATCTGATATTGTATTATAAACACTGTGTTATATTCACTGTATATAATACAGCATTTTTTTTTATTATATATCAAATATACTGTATATATTATATATATACAGTAAATAAACTATTATGTATTTAAGAAATATTTTAGTTTTTATATATATATATAGTGTATATTTAACAGTCATTGAACTGAAATTTTATATCATAGATAGTAATCATAAACATAATACAGTAAAATACAGTATAATACATTTAAATAAATATATTAGGAATTAATAGATATTAAAATTATGTTATTTTTATTTAAAAAAAAAATTATTATATGATACTAGTTTTGATTTATAATAGTTTTTAATTAAAATATAAATATTTTTTTATGAAATATGAAAAACAATTAACATAACATTTTTTTATATACTGTAATTATTATATTTTATTAAAAAATGTTTATCAATTTATAATATTTTATAAAATAAACTAATAGAGAGAGAGAGAGAGAGAGAGAGAGATAGAGATAGAGATTTAAAATAAAATATATTTTATATAATTAATTAATTTTTATTAGAAAAAATCATTTAATTAATATTTATTTATTTTTTAAAATGAATTTAAAACTATGAAATAAATTTAGTAAAATACTTGAATCACTTAAATAAATAAAATTAATTATTTAATTAATACTCCATTTATTTTTAATTAATTAATAAATTAATATAGATGGAAAAATTAATTAATTAATTAACAGATTTGACTATAATTTCTTGTATAGTGAAAGAGAGAAAAAAAATAATCGCCATTTTAATTGTAAAGTTTTAATAATAATAATAATAATAATAATTTTAAGTAAACCATCTAAAAAAAACAAATAAAATAATTATAATTTAGTGATTATTTATTAGTTCAAACAAACAAATAAACAAACAAAAATGTTAGCTAGTACAAAACTAATTATTATTAGTTTTGTCTTGGTCATTGTTAATTTTTCAATTATAATAAATCAATCTGCATCAAATCACCTTGCTGATCAATTTTTTGACCCACACCCACACACCCACCCACTACCACATCTATCCGATAGACAACAAACAAATCATACAATACATGAATTTGATAATGAATTTTTGAAAACAACTTGTAAGCCAAACGATGTTCATACAAAAATAGCTATAGATATTGTAAATTGTAAACAAAATATTTCCGACCGATTAAACGCACCAATTGCTAAACAATATGATTTAAAAGTAATCTTTATTATTTATTAATTAATTAATTAAATATATATTTCAATTACAATTACAATTACTATTACTATTACTATTACTATTACTATTACTATTACTATTACTATTACTATTACTATTACTATTACTATTACTATTACTATTACTATTACTATTACTATTACTATTACTATTACTATTACTATTACTATTACTATTACTATTACTATTACTATTACTATTACTATTACTATTACTATTACTATTACTATTACTATTACTATTACTATTACTATTACTATTACTATTACTATTACTATTACTATTACTATTACTATTACTATTACTATTACTATTACTATTACTATTACTATTACTATTACTATTACTATTACTATTACTATTACTATTACTATTACTATTACTATTACTATTACTATTACTATTACTATTACTATTACTATTACTATTACTATTACTATTACTATTACTATTACTATTACTATTACTATTACTATTACTATTACTATTACTATTACTATTACTATTACTATTACTATTACTATTACTATTACTATTACTATTACTATTACTATTACTATTACTATTACTATTACTATTACTATTACTATTACTATTACTATTACTATTACTATTACTATTACTATTACTATTACTATTACTATTACTATTACTATTACTATTACTATTACTATTACTATTACTATTACTATTACTATTACTATTACTATTACTATTACTATTAATATTTATTAATGTATGTTTTAATCCAGTTGTTAGACATTCACGCTGACTGTGCAGTAGGCAGGGATCATATGCTGGCCAACTATACTAATTTAGTCAATATAAACAATAATTTACATATTAGATCGGCGCTAATGTTTTTGTGTGACGAATCATACAAACAATGTTACGATAAAAAATTCAACGAATTTAAATTAGCAAACAAACAGCTGATCGATGATTATAATAGTGAAAATAAAAATGGTTTTTTAGTAAAAATATTTATGATGTAAGTATTTAAAATAATTTATATATATATACCGGTATATACTATAAAAATAAATTAATTATTAATTTATAATTATAATTGTTATAAATGATAATATATATATATAATCTATAATGATTAATTAATTTTACATACAAATTTGATTAACCTATTTGTTTGTTTAAAAAAATTCTATTAAATATCTTTTTTTTAAATTTTTAACATGGTCGTTAATTATATTATTATAATAAGGGACTGTCTAATAATCAGATAAGGCCTGCTCTATATACAAATAATATACATAAAATTAATAATTTTATTTATTTCACAAAATATTTATTTATTTGAAAAAATATTTATTTTTTCTACAACTATAATTGGAATTTAGGAATGTACTAATTTTGTGGTTCCTACAGAAATTACGGGCCAAAATCAAATACATGAACAACTATTAACTTTGGGACCATTAGACAAACCATTGACAAATCTAACATCGATTCGAACCTATAGCCAGCTAACAACTGATTTCCAATTAAACAATCTATTTTCATCGTTAATATGTCTAAATAATAATAATAATAATAATAATAATAATAATAATAATGTTACTGATAAATTAATTATGGATTATTATAATTGTAGATCTAGTGTTATATTGTTAGACCAACTGGAAACTGTTTTACAATATAATCAAAAAGTAATTGTTATAATAATAATATCTAATATATATATATATAAACTTGTTTCAATTTTTATTTCTCTCTCTCTCCCTTAACTAGATGTTAGAAATTCACGCTAACTGTGCCGTAGACAGCGATCATATACTGGCCAACTATAGTAATGTTAATCATAAAAATAATATCTATATTAGTTCAACAATTTTACAATTATGTTCGCAATCATACTATGAATGTTTTCATAAAAATCTAAATAAATTTAAAACAGAAAACAAACAACAAAATGTTGGATTTGGATATAGGGTTAAAATTGGGAAAAATCAAATTTAATAAAACAGTCGATCAAGTTGATGTAAGTATAAAAATATATATATATTTAAACAATTTAATAATAAACTATATATATATATATAGATATTAAATTTTAATATAAAAAATCATTGTATATATATATTATTTATTTTATAAATTTTTTATTTAATGTTAGTTTAATTGTTTTATTTTTTTTTTATTTTTTTTGTTAATTTTTCAATTTATTTTTCAAATGGTTATGAACAATTCTAAAATTGTCGATCTGTTTTATTTGATCCTACTGTAATTAATGATCTATTAGAACAACAAGTTGCACAGCAAGTAAAACTATCAATAAATGAGTCATTATTCGAACCAAACCCATACCCACTTCAAACACCAGTAACACTACGCCAACCCCTACCCCTACCCCAACCCCTACCTCAAACCATATCCCTATCACATACTAGTCAACAGCAACACCAGTCATCAGATTTACCTAAAAATAGATATTCAAGATATTTGTGTTCACCGGAAACAAAATTGACAACAAAATTAATCAATGATTATATAGACTGTCGATCCGTAGTACCCGACGAACAACAGACACCAAACGTTAGACAATATAATCAAAAAGTAAATTATAATAAAACAGATTATTATTAATATTATTTAATAATATTTAAAGTTTTATTAAATTATTATTATTATTGTTTTATTTAATAAAAATTTTCAGATGTCCGAAATAAGTGCTAACTGTGCCCTGGATAGTGTCAGTTCTTTAAATCTAACCGTCTATACAAATGTTTTATGGACTGTAAATGAATCAAAAATTAAATATCAATTATTAGAATTGTGTTCCGAATCATATAATCAATGTTTCGATAGTAAACTAAATGATTATAAATCTGAAAACAAACAATTGTTGACTGATTTAGACAATGAACTAATAGCTGGTAAATATCGGTTCACTAAAACAACTAATGAAGTTATTGTAAGAAATTTTTTTTTAATTTTTTAAATATTTATTTAGTTAAAGATTTAAAAAATACAATATCTATTATATGAATAGATAAAAGTATTAATTATTTGTTAAATAAATATGTATTATAAGTTATCTTCATAAAATTTATAAGTTATATATGTAGTTTTATTTATAGTTATTTATTTATTATTTATTATTATAATTTATTTTATGATATTATTAATTAATTATAATTTATTTATTTATTTATTGTCGTAAAAGTCATGTCGTAAAGCTCTACTTGGATTACAATGATTTAACTAAAAATTTAATTTATTGTTTAAGTCAAAATGTTTAAGCTAAGATTAATTAGAATTTTCAGTTTTATTATAATTATTTAAAAACTATAAAATTGTAAAATTTTTAATAAATTAAAAAAAAATAAAAATAATTATAAATTATTTTGTTTGGTTATAATAATATTATTTACAAATATATAAAAGTAACATATATATATATATAATTTTTATAAAATTTATTTAATTATACTATCAAGATATATATATATACAGTATATTGTATATACTAATATATAAAATAAACTTTTAAAAAATATTTTTTTTGGATAGCAAATAAATTAATAATTTTAAAAATTCATATTCAAACAGTTAGTTTTGATGCAAACAWATGTATAGAAWATTTYMCAAAATTCTGGCTCCGAATACCTGTMCACTGAACGAACTTTCCTGTTCTCTGTGTTTGATTTGTTGTAGTTTTTCATTGAAATTGATATCATTTAAGATAACTGAGCTATCGATTGACCATTGATTGTATTGTTCAATAATCTSAGCACAAGTAGGTCTATCCATATATCTTGRTTTCATTGTTTCATTAATAATATCTAATAATTTACTGAATTTTTCACTCCAATTGTTTTGCAGATATTTATCAACACAACTAAACATAAATATAAAAAAATTATTTATTTATGATTAAAAATTAATTATTAATTTAATTATCAATTAATTAAAAACTACAAACTCATTGACATCCGTATCGAATAACTCTTCAATAATACAACTAATACTATAGACATTAGCTTTGGTATCATATTTGCGACCACTTATGACTTCGGGTGACATATATTTAGGACTTCCCACACCTGCCGTATGACTCTGTGATATCATTTCGTGAACAGTCAGTAATCCTAAATCACATAATTTAATGAACCGTCCGTTTCGGATATCATTAGCAATCAATATGTTKTCGGGTTTGAGRTCGCGATGAATGACCGGTGGATTCAATTCATKCAAATATCGGACACATTCTAACACTTCTAATAGMAKTTCACACGTAATGTAATACTCYATACAATCCATGGGATGACCGGTTTGTCTGTTAAATAMCTGTGCTCTCAATTTGATGGCATCTTTCAAAYTCATTAAGCAATACTCCATTGAAATACATACAGAGTTAATAGAAAACCAATCTGTATAGACATAACTAAATATTTTGATGTTATTTTGTAAATATTATTTATCAGATTCGTTATCTAAAAAAATTAAAATAAAATAAAATTTTAAACTTTTTAAACAAGTTTAAATTTTAATATATAAATTAACCTGTTATTTTTATTATTTTAATTGCTGTAATAAATTTTTCATATCTATTTTACTATTTTTATATCTAGTTTGCATTTATAAACCGATCCAAAACTTCCCGAACCCAATGGTTTCAATTCATCATAACATCGATTATAATTATCAGTAATATCTTTAAATTAAAATTGAAATTATAAATTAAAATAAAATAGTTTTCTATTTAAAAAAAATAAACAAACATACATATGAAAAATTAGTAGACTTTTCTTTAATTGATTTAATAAAATTTTTAATGAATTCATATATATTATAATTAAATTCATTTGAATCATATATTTTATATGTTAATTGATATTTATTTGTACAATAATCAAAATAACTATTGTAATCAATTTTAATTAGTTCGCCATTTAACCAATTATAAACATTATTATTTAATAAATAAAAATAATTTCTAATATTCCACTTATTAGATACAATCGATTGAATTTCAATAAATTGATTAAATTTTTTTTTGATAATTTGGGTGTCATTTGTATATCAATTTCGTTGTTGTCATTATAATATTTACCACAAAAATATATTTCATTTTTATAATTATTTTATAACAATATGTAATATTAGCATTCGATTGTATGGATGTTATGCCCGTAAAAATTGTTTATTATTTGTGGCAAAAATATCATATCTTTGTTGCTATTAAGTCACAATTGATAATAACTATTTTCACCCCAACAAAACACCTGTCCATCCATTGTCAATGCAAACGATGAGTTAGCAAAACAGTGAACAGATTTTATACATGAATTGCCATTGAAGACAATCTTTACGGGTGTATTGATGGCGACACAAGTGTTGTCTCGGCTGCCGATTTGTCCGAAATGATTGCGACCCCAACCATACACTTCATTAGTATTTTCGGTTACAACTAATGTATGAAATGAACCACAACTAACATCACGTATTGAATCATTGTTTTCATTGATTTTGATAATCATTGGTTTTTTTCATTCAAAATCTTCCAATCTATGACCCAATTATCCCCAATCTATTACAACCACAACTATACAGACAGTTATCACTCGACACACAAACAATAAATTCTTTTCCATTTAAAAAAAATTAGTTATGTTTTTATGTCTTAACAGTTTAATCTCTTGCGGTTCATTCACCCAATTAATGTGTCCTAAACCTAGTATCCCAAATGTATTACTACCCAATCCGTAGACCCGATTGTCATCTTTGGTAACAAATAGCATATTAACCCCCAAATAGTCGTCAAACACATAAAATCTTTCAATCCTTTTCCAATCCAATCATTTGATGTTAAGTCTTGTCTTTTCCATATATTCTGTTGGTTTCTGTTTTTCATTTTTTTCTGTCAATTAAAACATTTTGTGTTTTAATAATAATAATATTATTATTATTATTATTTTCACACATTTTGTTTAAATTTTTTTTCTACGTTACTTTACATAATTTATTAAAACTTTTAATTTGATTTTAGTTTAATTACAAGGATTTAACTAATAATATTAATGTTTTAAATGTTATATATATATATTACATTATTATTAATAATTTTATCTAAAAATTTTTTAACCATTAGTAATAATCTATTTGTTTGTTTAAGTTTACTTTGAAATAACTATTCAATATATTTAATATAATAATAAAAATATATATAATATATTTGTTTGATATAATTATTAACTTTTTATGTTTAACTAAGAAAATAATAGTTATTTTTTAATTTTATTTGATTACTATTTTTTTTAACTATTAGTAACTATCAGTTTATTAAGTGTTATAACTAAAGGTTGATTTTTTAAAAAATATATTACATTATAATTAATAATTTTTTCTTTAAATATTATATTTTATCTGAAAAAATATGTGTAATCATAATAATAATCATATAAGTGTAGTACAAGTCTATAGAAATAATAGAAATAATTATAATATAATATATAAAATTAAGACATTAAATAATAATAATAATAATAATAATAATAATAATAATAGTTATTAAAGTAATATAGTATTTAGTTTAATAAATAGTAATCAAATAAATATTTAAAAAATGTAATTAAAAAGTTTCTATAAATCATGTGAATTAATGTATAATATATAGTATATACACATTAAATATATTGATTAGTTATTTCAATAGTTAACTTAAACAAACTAATAGATTATTTATTACTTATGGTTACACATATTTAAGATAAAATTACTTAATAAAAAACACATATATTATTAGTCAACAAATAGTAATAAGTAAAAAATATAGTTTCAATTAAACAATTGAAGTAATTTAATGAAAAAAAATTGAACAAAATGTGTTAAAATAATAATAATATTATTATTATTATTATTAAAACACAAAATGTTTTAAATGAAATAAAAAAGATGAAAAACARRAATCAMYAGAAAATATGGAAAAACAAGACTTAACACCAAATGATTGGATGAAAARATTGAAAAATTTTATGTGTTTGACGACATCTTAGGGGTTAATATGCTATTTGTTACCAAAGATGATGATCGGGTCTATGGATTGGGTGCTAATAGTGATGGTATACTAGGTTTGGGACACAACCAGTGGGTGAGTGAACCACAAGAGATCATTGAATTGAGACATAAAAATATTATTAATTTCATAAGCGGTTATGAATTTATTGTTTGTGTGTCGAGTGATAAGTGTCTGTATAGTTGTGGTTATAAYAAATGGGGACAATTGGGTCATATATGTGAAGATAATACATATATTAGACCAATGATAATAAAAATTAATGCAAACAATGATTTAATAAGTGATGTGAGTTGTGGTWCATATCATACATTAGTTRTAACCGAAAATAATAATGAAGTGTATGGTTGGGGTMGTAATGATTTCGGACAAATCGGTAGCCGAAACACCAYTTGTGATGCCATCAATACACCCGAAAAKATTGAATTYAATGGCAATTATTGTATAAAATCTGTTCACTGTTTTGAAAACTCATCGTTTGCACTGACAATGGATGGACAGGTGTTTAGTTGGGGTGAAAATCGTTACACTATTTTAGGACATAATAACAACAATGAGATAATATGTTCGCCAAAAATAATAAGCAATTTAAATGATATTACATCAATAAAACTAATGTATTGGATAACATTTTTTATTAATAATAATAATAATGAAATTTATTTTTGTGGTCAATATTACAATGAAAGCTATAAAAAAAAATTACAAATGACACCAAAATTATTGGGAAAATGTTTTGAATATTTAGATATTCAGTCAATAAAATCAATAAAATCATATAAATGTATGAATTCAACACAATTATGTTTAATGGATGGTATTGTCTATAAGATTATAAAAGATAAAAAATTAAAAACAAATTATACAAATTATTTTGATTATTGTATCGATAGATATCCTATAACTTATAAAACATATACTGTTAATGAATTTAATGATAAGATGACTAAATTTATTGTAAATATTCAATGTTTTATTAAAACAGAATATTTGGAAATCTGTAGACTAAAAAAATTATCGACAAATGATTGGATTAAAAATATTGATAAATTTTATGTATTTGATGACAGTTTGGGGATTAATATGTTGTTTGTTACCAAAGATGATGATCGGGTCTATGGATTAGGTAGTAATAGTCTTGGGATACTTGGTTTAGGACACCTTAATTGGGTGAATGAACCGCAAGAGATTAAAGAGTTAAGACATAAAAACATAACTAATTTTTTAAATGGAAAAGAATTTATTGTTTTTGTGTCGAGTGATAACTGTCTGTATAGTTGTGGTTGTAATAGATTGGGACAATTGGGTCATGGATTGGAAGATTTTGAATGGAAAAAACCAATGATTATCAAAATCAATGAAAACAATGATTCAATACGTGATGTTAGTTGTGGTTCATTTCATACATTAGTTGTAACCGAAAATAATAACGAAGTGTATGGTTGGGGTAGTAATGATTTCGGTCAAGTCGGTAGCCGTGACACCAATTGTAAGGCCGTCAATACACCCGTAAAGATTGTCTTCAATGGCAATTCATGTATAAAATCTGTTCATTGTTTTGATAACTCATCGTTTGCATTGACAATGGATGGACAGGTGTTTTGTTGGGGTGAAAATCGTTATAATCAATTGGGACTTAATAACAACCATGATACAATATATTTGCCACAAATAATAAACAATTTTTCTGGCATAACATCCATACAATCGGGTGCTGGGATTACATATTTTTCAAATAGTTATAAAAATGAAATATATTTTTGTGGTAAATATTAYAATGAAAACAACGAAATTGATATACAAATGACACCAAAATTATCAAATAATTTTAATCAATTTATTGAAATTCAATCGATTATATCTTATAAGTGGAATATTAGAAATTATTTTTATTTACTAAATAATAATGTTTATAATTGGATAAATGGCGAATTAATTAAAACTGATTACAATAATTATTTTGATTATTGTACAAATAAATATCAATTAACATATAAAACATATGATTTAAATGAATTTAATGATAATATAAATAAATTCATTAATAATTTTATTAAATCCATTAAAGAAAAGTCTAGTAATGGTATATATAAAGGTTTGTTTATTTTATTTTTTTAAATAGAAAACTATTTTATTTTAATTTATAATTTCAATTTTAATTTAAAGATATTACTGATAATTATAATCGAAATTATGATGAATTGAAACCATTGGGTTCGGGCAGCTTTGGATCAGTTTATAAATGCAAACATAAATTAGAAAAATTTATTACAGCAATAAAAATAATTAAATTACCAGGTTTTTTACT